TATATCCGAATACGAAAAATGTATATAAAAATGATGTATAATGTAATATAAGAATGAATATAAAAATGTATATAAGAAAAAATATATAAAGAAATATTATATATTGCTTATATAAACATATATCACAACGGAGCAATAATTTATAATTCTCTATTCTATTGCATCGGTTGATATAGATTTAAATATGATAAAAGTAAAGTTTCTAAAAAACGTTTTCAAGATAAAATCAAATACGAGATTCAATATGATTCCTAATGTATCATACATCCTGAAATAAAAATAGGAATTACATATTTATCACTAAGAGGGAAGTAGAAAAAACTTAGACAATGTTGCATTCGATTACGATTCACATGCTATTTCGAAGGCCGCGTTGGATGTAACTGTTCCGGTATGTCTGACTTATAGGACATTTCTGCGAAAGAATAGCATTAGAAGGCGCCTGTTAAGAAAAATTCGCGCCGGCATACGCATTATATGTCACATCACGCACGATTAAATATTGCCGTGTTGTACAAAGGAATAATAATAATAATATTACTCAAACTAGCCGTATAATTGTAGTAATTATATAACCAGGTTTTTTCTAGTATGCAACGAAGATACACGTGAAATATATTTACATACTTTATGAAAATCGATCACGCGTTATAAACATATTTTATATAAAAACATTTGTTTTAACAAATGAGTTAAACAATATGTATGAAATTGAAAAATTCAGTAACAAACTATATAACGCTGCATAATGCATTTGCCGAGTGTCGGGAGACATCGAGTATCAATTTCGCGTTACATAATCAAGAGGAAAGAGGAGGCGCGCGAGAGAAAGAGACAGAGACGGACGTAATCGAAGTGCGGTCCCGTATACCCGAGCTAGTCCACACAAACTTTCTTATTCCGCCCTGTAGTCTCGCTTCCGGTTGTGTAACAGGCGCCTACGCTGCACATTGCATCTACCGCGTGTGTGTATCGTCCTCTTCTCTTCCGCACTCTTGGCGTCCTTTACGCGCGCGCGCTCGACACCCTCGTTGCACGCTATATGTATACCTCTCACAAAAGATCATCAGTTTTATATATACGAGCTTTTTTAATAGAAGCCGTATAAAAAGGGAGGTAAAGGAGGATACAGAAGGAGAGAGAGAAAGAGAAAGAACCTACGCAGCTTGACGATGGCTCGACAAACGCAGGCAGTTTTTTAGTTGCTCGGCCGACTGTCCATATACCAGAAACAGGGAATACGAATGCAGGAAGTAACGTATCCTGTGAGAGTGATCGCTTAAGGGTCGTTTACGATATGCAGACATGCTCGTCTAGATCAATCAGTTTGACCACCTGCATAACGTATGCACACACATCTCTTTCTAATATTTTCATACTATATACTAAAGAAATCGGGAAAAATTTAATTGTATAATTTAATTGTATAATTTCTTGTGTGCTCCGCGCGGATGCTTCATGCACAACGATGCATTGCGTAACGCGTATCAAAATGAATGCCATCGTTAAGTATCGCTGCGTTTCCCGCCGAAAGTCTTCGCGTTCATGAGAAAAGCGCTCGCATGTAAATTGTAAATCATCCGCGAAACTGGAACACGTATTTCTTCTCTCTCTCTCTCTCTCCCCTCTCTCTCTCTTTCCCCCTCCCTCTCTCCCTCTCTCCCTCTCTCTTTCTTTCTCTCTCTTAGCTGTGTATATAAAAAAATTTAACGATTGAGAAAATCAATCCTAATTAACGGGTAATCGTCCCTTGCGAAACTATTTAGTACGATGCCACGTTGATATTTCCAGATCTGTGTGATTCATAATTCCGGATCATAAATGAGTCGGATACGAACCAAAAAAGATTGAACGTGGTTCTGGTCGACCGTGAGAATGTGGTCGCACAAGAGAATCTTGAGATCGCTTTCTTCGGGGAGTTTCGGGACGTAATAAGAACGATTACGAGGAACAGAAGGATATTTTCCGGGAAGGGTTACGGAAAACATCCCTTTCTGTCAGGTAACGCATTTATCATGCGCACGTTTCAACGTGAAAGGCGAGAGATCAATATAGGCGAATTTACTCTAAAGTTATAAAGGAAATAAAAGAAATTTTATTTTCTCCAAAAAAAAAAGAGAAAGAAAGAATGCACGATATAAATTATTTTTATCAAACTAAGTCAATTATTATTTATTGTAATTAATTAATTAATTGATTATTTTGACTTTATATTTATTATAAACTAAATTAATTATTTTATTTTTATATTAAAAGTATTTTAATTATCTGAGTAAATAATTTGACAAAAATATAATTCAGCGCATATATATAGAGAAGTGTATGAATTGCAAGGAATGATTAAATGATTATTTGTCAGATAAGATCGATTTTCCCAGTTGCTAAATTTTTCTTACACCATATATATACACGCACACATATTATCTGGCGAGATGGAGAAAAACCGATTATGCTTTACGACGCGGAAATGCAATCGAAGATGTGATGACTTGAAAGAAAGTCGTAATCTAATGGTACCAATCATCGGTATTATTGATCAAATGCGTACAACTTGATCACCATGCGAATGATTCTTTTTATGTAATTGCCGTATAGTGTCGAATGCGGGTACCCGGAAACATCATTCAATACCGTAGATCCATACTATGCAATTATTAAAATAATACGACTATACTTTCAGCAACATTGTTAGCGTAATGGAAGGTTTCACCTACAATCGTGCATGATCTTGTAGATGCGATAAATACACTTTCTAAAGAATATGTGCCCTACTCAGCGTAGGATATTGGTGTGCGCGGAAGCAAATTGCTTATGTAAAAAAGGATCGTAAGCAAAGTAGACGCGCATCCTGCTGTTGATTTTATAGATCCCCTTATCTTTAAGCGTTCGCGAGCGAAGAGAAATCGCGCTTTCGATAATCAGGCTGATTAATTTAAATTCTTTCTGCTTTCACTGATTGTTTTTACTTATTTCGAATGTGATACAAATGACAAAAAATGGCAAAAAATGCAGTGCGATCTTTCTTCTAAAAAGCAATAAGGGAAAGAAAAGAAATTCTACGATCACCTATACCTTATTTTACACATCCGTTTTAACCTTAAAATTTGTCGGCTCTTCTGTGTTTTACAAAGCCGACAAACTTAAAGAATTATTTTCTTTAAAGAATTATTTTCTTAAACGAATTATATTCCTTTTCTTGTACCGTCCAAATGTTTTCGGCCATTCAACAGCTACTGTAAATCCTTTCGAGATATATTATCTTATATTGCGTCTTACAAGATATAAACTCTACTGTGTTTTTTTGTCATTGCGGTTTTTTTCCATTATACCGAAGTAAGGTGAAAGTTTAAGGACGTCGTTTTGACGAAAAAAATGCTTAAAATGCGTGTCCCCTAAGACAACTAAAAAAAAAACTGTTGTGGGCACAAAAAATTTAGTCTCTTGGATCATATAATAAAGAATTAAGTTTATTGTGTATAAAACGTAAAGATATACCAATCTTTCAATACCATGGAAAACAAATTATACATAATTAATTATAATAGTGCAATAAAAACAAATATTAATAGGTAACCTATCGTTTTTACTTTGAATATTCTAATTACTCTTATATTAAAAAAAAAAAAACTATATATAATATACGTACATCTTGTAAGCTTGTTATATCAGTAGGTAGTATAAAATAATTTTTCTTTCTGTTATATCATAAAGATTATTTTTTATAAAAATCGATCACATATGATATCATTTTTATAATGTTCAAAAAAATTAATAAACTTGCGATTATATGTTAACATTTATAATATAACAATGTAATATTTAAATTAAATTTTAAAGTTGTTTATTTACAAGAAATGTTAAATGATTCGTAACAGAAATAAGCTGTAACGATCGATAAAGAAGGTTGATCGTGTGACCCATGGGTCACCATGGATCACCTATGATTTCTTACATCTTAAGCGCCATCTCACACTGTTTTCTTCAGTTGTCTATGATAATATAACAGTGTTATCAACTGTAGAACTTACAGTTTTAAACATAATTTTAAAGCAATATTTATAAATACTTCTTCAATAAAATAGCTAATATTTTCGTTTAATTACAATAACTAATAACTAATTATAAATTTTGATTAATATTAGATATACAAAAAATTATCACAAAAATGTGTTCTTTTTAGATTCAAAAAATATAATATTAATATTTGTAGCAAAAATTAATTAAGGCTGTTAATGATTAAAACTCTATAGATTCGAAAGAACACGGTTAAAGCTATATAGGAAAATATAATAATTATAATAGAATAGATCTCCGTGTTTCGGAAATCATAATTTTTCGCATATCGTATAAAGACATATCCAAGTATTAGGATAAGTAGAATTTTTAGCATTTCCAGCTTTTTAATTAGAGTCCTGTGTAGCACGAAATATAAAAAAAACTCTTAACTTTTAGTTTTAATTTTTACGCTCCAACCAATATTGCAAGAGATATTTCGATTTTTCGTATAATATTTTGCGGAAACCTGAGAGTATACCTGTTACCGGGCAATCATATGAACGTAAAAGAATTAATTAATGCTGCTAATAATTAAAACTCCGTAAAAAATAAAAGATTACAAAACTATAGAAAAATTATAGAATAGACTTCTGTTTCTCAAATCGATTTTTTGTATGTCGTATCACATGTTAAGATATTTAAGATTAAATCCCGAGGGGAGTACGAAAATATTTTGGAGCCCCTTTTTCTCTCTATTCTCCTGATTACTATCTCTTTTGCTTCCATTTTGTTTCAAAATATTAATATATAATGTTTATATACTCGGGTGAATGATCATATTAGGCGATTACATACAGACGATACGGATATGGATTAGCGAATGTTTCACTTTCCGTTCAATGAAACGGACGTGGACTACGTGGATGTGGATCCCAAGACGACTGCGTCCGAATAACGCGTATAGAATCTCACTTACTCTCTCTCTCTCTTTCTCTCTTTCTCCAGTACTTGACATTTCTATATCGTCTTGATTTAAAGATCGGTATCATACCAGGCCGCGACCTGGTTGTTATCTTGCGGCGGTGCAGGGAGCTCTTCCAAACGATCGAAACTCAAATCACCCTCGTGCGCCACGTCCATAGTGTCCATCGCACCATACGTCGATCCACCACCTATCTCCAATCCTTGCATTGAGTCTATTGGTATCTGGTCATAACCTGTTATATGAAAAACAATACCTTGTTTTTTAAAGATTCTGTTATTTACTACTCATAATACATACATCGATAAAAATTACACTGCACACAAAGTGCAGAACTTTATTAATCAGTAAAGCATAATCACTTGGAAAGTGCTTTGCAATTTTTTTAATGGAATTAGAGAGAATTTAACGCTTTTTTAAATGTGTATATATATATATATAATGAAAACAAGAACAATACATAAAGACAAAGTGACCTTTGTTACTGCGAGATATTGTTGATAGCTTGTATTTTAATTTAAGAGTCCATGGGTTAAGCTGCTGTTAAAATAACATACAATTAAATGCATCATTTTATATTAGAAGTAACACTGAAGAAAATAGTAAATTATTTAATAAACTCTGCGTTTTTTTTAAATGCAAGACACAGAGAATTGCTTCATAAAATAGCATTATTACATACAAAATTATTCCGCTCTTTTATACGCCGGCCATATGGAATTATTATTACAATTATATCTATATATATTGTTGCGCTTCTTGTGTTTGTCCTTGCATAAAAGCTATCTTTGGCCGTTATATTTGATATCCGCTATACCTGTCTTCGGAGGATCATCTCCGAACGCGTTACTAAGGGGATCAATAAGTACAGACATCTTGAGAATAGTCACCATCTTGTCGAGTCTCGCGACTGCTGTCATACCATGTGAACGTATATTTTCGACAATTACAATTATTACAATATTTCCCTGTTCTATATTCTATATTCTAAATTCTTTATTAAAATTATAGCAAGTTTGTTTTCTAAAACAGCATTGTTATATCCGACGCGAGTGCTTGTGAGTGAGCGACAGTACGAGAACAAACTGCCAATCAATCGAAATCGACTCGCAGGTGCAACAATATATAAACACATTTTATGGAAACAGAATGAGACTTGTTTTTACTTGGGTCGTTCACGTCAAAACTAGAATTCAATTTTTAGACAGGTAAAAAGACAAGATTATAATCAGTAAAGAACACTTATTTTTCAACGTAATCCCTATTAACATCACAGCATTTTTGCCATCGACGTACTAATGCGTTAATACCGGCAGAATAGGAGTTGTCCTGACGTCTGAACCATTGTAACACACACGTTTTAAGCTCATCTCCTGACTGAAAGCGCCTACCACCCAAATGTTCCTTCAAAGGACCAAACAGGAAATCTGAACGCTTGCAGTTTTTCCCTGGTTTTCTGGGAGATGTGTTACAGTATCTTTCTATTTTGCCGGCATTCGTACGTCGATGCCAAAAATGCTGTGATGTAAATGGAGATTACATTAAAAAATAAATGTTCTTTACTGGTCATAATTTTGTCTCTTTACCTGTCTAAAAATTAAATTCCGATTTTGACATAAATGACCCAAGTATATGTACATATTTCAAATTCCGTCTGCCTTCGATCGAGTAATGAATCGATTATTCGGAAGCAGCACATTCGATAAACGAGATGAATAATACTTATAAATTACCTTGCGGTTGATAACCCCGACCGCCATGGCTGCTATGTACACTAGGAGGTCCTTGGCCATACATACCATCATAGCCTTGATCAGGGCCAAGCATGTCCTGAAGATTAGGTAGCTTAGGTCAACACAAAGCATATCTTCTAAAGAAGGCGTGTCATGACACCTCGAAATACGGACAGATATGCGCTATAGTAGGCAAGTCTCGTATGGTAATAATAACGATTAAGAGAGCTTATATGAATAATATAATAATGGTACAAAAAAAGAAAAAAAAAGGAAACTATTAAATAAACATCTGCAGAAGGAACAAAATGCATTCCCATGCACATGATAATCTTGCAAACTATGAATTAGGATTCTAAGGTGTCTAATTGTAAGTGCATTTCGTGATCTATTGCTCCATTAGGCACAACCATTCTTTTCTTTAATTTTTCAACTTTTGAGCAAATATTGATATAAATATTGATATAAAAATAACGTTAAATCTTGGACATTAATGTATTATAAAGCATAAGCATAAAAATTTTAAATGTAGCTAATATTAATATGTGTTAGCTTTATTTTCTTTTTTTGCTTCAGAGAAGCATACATTTCAAAACTGTTCATACAACGGGTTTATAACTTGTTAAGCAATGTAAAACTGTATGAAATTAGTCTCTTAAAACATTATATATCTACCATTTTCATAAATATAATAATAAAAGTCTACAGTGTAAAATTTGTGGGATAGTTAGAATTAAATATTATAGCACATGAATGAGTACTGCACTATGCCTTAATGGTGCAAATTCTGATTCATAAATAATAATGTTGTAAACATGATTTAAAAACAGTGTGTTCAAAATTTATCTTACAAAGGGAAAATCTTTTATATAAATACCTGAATGTTATAATTAGAAAGATACGGGCTTGTCTCTGAGCAATAAAAAAACTCTATTATCATAACGTGGCACAATTTACCAAACACAATGTAACCATCTAAAGTGTAACATATTTCCATGCTATGATATAAATGTATTTCTGTTTATATCATATTACAAACCTGACAAAGTCCTGGCAAGTACTTGAAAACAACTAATTATAAAAGACAAAATCTGCTTCTATATATACATATATAAAACTAAAGTTTGCTATGTTACAGTGTTTGCAAGTAAATCTATTTCGCCACGGCACGAATAATTTTACGTGCATTACTGTATTTGTTTTCTACGATACCTGGAGATCTGGGGCCACGCTGAAGTCAGTATTATTCCATAAGTTTGTGTCTTCGCGGAATAAGGAATTCGTCAGCTCCATGGAAAGTCGTTTTTTGTACTCTTGGGACTTATCTTCGCTCATACGAAACAATACTGCTGCCGCAACACCTTCGTTTCTGGAGTGAAGTAGTTCCGTCAGTGGGGCAGTAGCACCCTCTTGTTCTATTATCTCGGCACTTTCCTTGTCAGCTGCTAGTTCGCAAAGCACGCGTTGAATGTTTTCAATCTCATTAAATAATAACTGTATGAAAAACAAACCTGTATTAAAATTTTTCGAAAGAAAGAAAGGTGATAGATACAGAACCCTCTATTTTCTTTAGCTATTTTTGATCTCAGACGTGCTATTTTCTTTAGCTATTTTTGATCTCCATCTGCATATGCACCTGATGTTTGTTGGCTTCCAGTACTAGCGACAGATTTATTTTATATAATAAATTTTGCCATGTGGATAACTTACTCTCTGTGTGTCGTGGAATGCAGGCGTCAAAAGTCTTACGAGATGATGTATTGCACCGTGATCGCGTAGCGGACTGTGATTTGCGGGACAAAGAGCCAAATTGCGGATTAGTCCAATAACCGCTTTCACCAACGGCCAGCGCGACGGTGGATGAAGTAATTTGACTATAACTGGAATACCGTAATTCAACCGAACCGAGTTTTGTGCCATTTCCGCTTCATTATGACGCGATGTCAAATGACGTAAAGCGCATACTGCCGGTTCAGTTATTTCTTCTCGATCGCCGGCATTTATAATCGTACGAACGAGCGCGTCGACACCACCGTAATTACATACCGCAACCTGAAAAGAGATTTAAAAATCTTTGTTTATATGCCACATATTATAAGAAACGTTGAAGTCAAGGCTCGAGTAGATATTTGTGTAATAGTCTTCCAGGCTATTAAGCGGTTATTTGAGTTAACCGCAAATAGTTAAGGATGCGTAGAAGGTCGGGAGATGCCGGGAAAGTGGCTAACGGAAGGGATTGTTCTTGAGAATGATGATCACCAGAAAATACTCCGTGGCTGGTGAATAACTCAAAATATAAATATATTCTACCAAATGCACAAACGGATACAGTTTTCTTTGTTACTAGCCTACGAACAGTAGTGTACTCGCGAACAAAACGACTTTATAAAACGATTAATTACCGCTCAACGACTCGAAGGACAAACACCGAATGGCTTCCGCACGCGGTCCTCGCTTATCTCACATCTCACCCTGCTCACATACACCCGAGCGCTGTAGGGCTGTAGTCGACGAACAGCTAATCACACTTGTAGTTGCCGCTGCGCGCGCAACCTACAAAGTCTCTAACCCACCACCTACATGAAGCTAGCCGGAATACCAGTATATATAAAAAAATCCCAACTTGTACGCAAAGAGTTTATTATTTATCCCTAAAAAATAACTTTTAAAAAAATTTTTCCTTGAAAAATAATTTTCATACAAAATAAAAAACTAAAAAATGGTTTTCCTCTAAAAAATAAAAACCTTTAAAAAATCAAAAATCAAAACTAAATATGAAATCAAGTTAACTAGCCAAGTACATAGAAGCAGTTCAGTTTGTAAGAGTTTGTAATTTAAAATAGTAGCTGTTCACGGTCATGCGCGAGTTTGGGCAAGTGACGATAGCGCCCTCTGCACCATTTTAAATGGATCATCATAAATACTAATTTTTATAAAATCCTCAATTTATAAGAAATAATGCAATATTTATACACGATAATAACAGGAAACTGTAACACAAATAATCTTATAACGGAACAAAATTTCAATAAATAATCTTTTTCAATAGAATATATGAAATAAATAAATTTTTAATTTTATATTAATAATGTTCTCTTTAAACTAGGAATTATCCAATAAAACCTGTATAACGAAGTTGATATTCTTCTTATGAAACACAGGGTTCGATAGTAAAAATGCTCTATCTAGGAGACCGATGACTGTGCCTTTTTTCTGGCATAAACAAACTTTCGGAACACCGATGGACTCACCATTATCGCCCATAATTGCGGACATAGTGATGTAGGATTTGGAGAAAAAAGAAAAAACTATATAATCTTATATAAGATCTATGTGATAAATAGATCGATAAGTTCGTCATTTTATAAGGAAAATCATTAAATATATATTTACATATATTAATTAATCATGAGTAACATCGTAAGAAATAAGGCAATAGAGGAAATCATGAAGGAGAACCAGTTTACAAGAATATAGAATGTGCACTAGCAGCACATGATTACACACACATACGTAAAAAATGTACATACGTAAAAGACTACAAGTGTGATTTATAAATAAATTAAATAATAAATCAACTAGCAATATTGTGGCAGTGTATTATATAGGGTCTTTATAACATGTAGAACCAACTTCAGCGGCGGATGGTAAACCAAAAATAATAAAAAAGTTCATATAAATAATATACAATGTACAATTGTGTATACAATTTATCATAATTATTTAACATAATTATTATTAGAATTTTCTGCAATATCTGCACATTATCAAGGCTTATTAATCACGTTTTAGTTGAATTTTATAAGCGTAAAATATCTGTTTTTCCAGAGCAATTGACACTACCTGATTTATAATAAGTCATTATTTGATAATAACATTATTGTTACAGTAACAATCTTTTAATATATCAAATTTTTTTGTAATTTTATTTTATATTATTACTATGTAAGTAAAGTAATTTTTCGAATAGATTAAATGTGTATTGTAATGCATGATGGTGTTAATTATACAGGGTGGGGCATCTAAAATAGGCCACCTGAATTACTCGGCCGCCTTCGGTGATACAAAAAATGCCTCAGACCAAATGTGCTTGGTTTCACGAGAACTATAACCTGAGATCAATAGTTTTTTTGTAGCTGAAAGGGTGGAGGAGCTACAAAGGTCAACTTTGATTTTTTAAATGGAAACCCCCTTTTGTATTGCATATTCTTGTAGCTTATCTCGAGAGCTTTTCAAAACACTATAATAAAGTATGTTTTTATTAAGTACTTTTTGAGTTATTTTATATTTTAATCTGACATATTTTGATATAAAAATTAAAATATCTCGTAAAATATTTAGTTTTCGATAATGTTACCGTAACACTTTTATGTATAGAATAATAAGACAAATCAATTAGTATAAAAAAGACAAATAATTGTTTAAAAAAATACATTGTAAATAATTACATACTTTTTCTTAAAAACATTTTTTTTTTTTTTGTACTAATTGATTTGTCTCATTATTTTGTACATAAAAGTATTACGGTAAGATTATCGAAAACTAAATATTTTACGAGATATTTTATTTTTTATATCAAAATATGTTAGATTAAGATATAAAATAACTCAAAAAGTACTTAATGAAAACATACTTTATTATAGCGTTTTGAAAAGCGTATTCGAAACACAATATATTTGATAAATAGATATCAAAATAAATTAATTTTTTTGTATATCGTAATTCGTTTAATATAGATTAATAAATACCTACATCAAAAACTCTATTTTTTATATTGTTTCACATTAAATGCAAGCACAATTTAATGTGTATGTATTTACATATTCAAAGGAAATAAACCTTATGACAAATGATCAAAATTTATAACTACTTATTAATCGAACTGAAAAGAAAATCTTTGTTATATTTGATATATAATAATTTGTAATATGGAATATGATAGCATGTAAAAGAAAATTAGTTTGTTTCAATGTATTATGTAAAAAAGAATTCACACGTGTTCAACTCCGATATTATATGATTCAATATGATGTAAAGTGCAATGAGATTTTGGAATTTTAATAGTTATTTTGATTTGGAATTCAACGTGCTATATAAATAGTAACATGTTAAACAACATTTTATAACTATATATGAAATATGCGTTTTTATATATGATTGTATGCAGATATGCAGATACGATTATTGCTAGACGATAAACTAATTTGCATATTATGATCGAATGAGGAAAGAAAGCGAACGGGTAAAAATAATATAAGATTATTTAATCAGGGCAATCATTAGCTATCTTTTTTTTATTTATTCATTAGGTATCTACGATTTCAGTAATTTATTAAAAATTGAATTTTTTCTCTAAATGATATTATGTCTATAATTATCTAACCGATAATATCTAAACGCAAGCAATAACTACTAACAGTAAAAACCAAACTACGACTAACAATGTCTTCTGTGCAATGGAATGCATTTTTAGTAAAATTTTTAAATTCCTAATCTTTAGATTGAAGTTTCCAGAGGGTAGCGGATCTCCATTCTGGAAGATCTCCAAAATAAATATTAAACGTGTCACTTTTATATTTTATTTCAAGCGAAATTTATTTTAGAAATGAATTTTAAGTGAATCAATAATTTCCAAAAACATTTAAAATCGAATTCTGATAGTTATGATTCTGTCATAAAATATGTTGCTCTTCTTTATCTTATCACTTCCTTGCAACTATGACGACGAACGATAAGGACAATGATGTTGCATTGTTATAATTATTTCCGTATTAATGAACTATATGGCATAAACAAAAATATTTTAATTTATTTATTAAACAATAACAATATTTTGTATAATAACTTAGCATGCATGAACCGGGTGTTTGCGATGATGCCATCTTCATCTAGCACTTGCGACTTAAACCTGTTGATTTTGATTGTACCTCAGAATACACGTACATTGGATGTATCAATCGAAGATCTTCCTGTAATTCAGTTAACCATCGATTAAGGTCTTTAATCTCACCAGATTTTTATCTATAACATTTTTAAAAAATAATTAATCGAGGTTGCCAATTTAATGGAAATTATTAAATTTGAATTAAAAATGCATTAAAGGCATAACATACGAAATAAAAGAAATATCATTCATGGTTTTTGTTTGTCTCAATAATAATGTAGCAATCTATATTTTCTTCTTTAGGTTGCAATAATTATATGTGTAAATATTTATGATATTGAAAATATAATCAATTTTTTAGTATATTTTATTAAAATATTTAGTAATAGGGGAAAGTTGGGTAAAACCGGGTAGGCGGGTCAAACCGGATACCCCTGTTTTTTCGTAATAAATGCTGCTATCTATAGCTAACTTGTGTTATTAGTTGTCGATTGGCACTATCATTATTTTAAAAGAAGAATCCAAAAAAATACCCGGTTTTACCCTACTTTCCCCTATATCAATTTTCGTATTTAACCATATTTTTGAGGAGCAATTAATATTTAATCATTCAATAAGTTATTTACATTAAAAAAATTAATATTAAAGGAAAAAGTATTAAAAAATAGAGTTGATCATAACTGTACATTTCTCCATACACAGTTTCTCAAACTATGTTCCTCTCTCGCAACTATGTTTTTCAAATTATATATCTACCAATACCCTTCCATACCGTTCCACTTAATGACCGCAACGCTCGCGAGCATTATCTGTCTTTGTTTAACTTTCGGTGAACAACAAAGATGAAATGATACCGTGAGCGTTGCGGTCGTTAAGTGGAACGGGGCCATAATGGGAAGGGGTAAAATAGAAGATATATAAAGAGTGTAAATTCACGATCAAGAACAGTACATGTTTAATATTCTGGTGTGTACGTTTGCTACCGGATTGTGTTTAGTATATTTTTTATTTGTATCTTTTTTATTTTCATTTATGGTGTATCAAGGGTCCTCTGTGATATTGAGAATTTGCAGAGCTACTAGTTAAAAGATACTGGAAAACCATAAGCTCGACTATAAGACACTTTTGACGGTTGAAGAAAGTTAGAATAGGCTGAAAATATATGTGTAATAGAAGTCTGTGAAGTCT